TGTGTAAACGTCAAACGCAAGGAAATTAACTATGGGCGCCACTGGCGGAGGTGCTATAAACTAACACATATTTAAATTGACCGTTAAATGCGTGTTCGATGTACAAGATACTAGCACAGACAAACAGACATAACACTCGCAAGTTGTGCATCGAACAAGCATTTAACGGTCAATTTAAAAGTATCGTAGTTGGTAGTACCGCCACTTGTGGCGCGCATAGGCAATTCCCTTGCGTTTGACGTTTACACACTACCGCCATCTGTTCAGCGTACTACCCACCACAGTGTACTCAGCAGATGGCGGTATTGTTTTTGCGACGATGGTTTACAGTGAGAAATATTCAATGTGTTATGTCTGTTTGTCTGTGATACTAGTGTTATGTCTGTTTGTCTGTGGTTCGATGAAGATTTGCAGGTTTTCAAAAGATATTGTTTTAGTTCTTAGTGACCTTCATGGCTTATAAAATGCTCAATTTATTTTTCAAAGTGCTGATTTTATACGTTTCTTGCTCATGTCTTATTTTTTGTTGAGCGTTTTTGAAATTTTCCCTGGGACATTCATTGTACTTTTTGTGTCTTTTTTTACCTTGATATTGCTCAAATGGCATTTTCTAGTGCTCTTTTGCGACGTATATATTGCTCAAGCAGCTGTTTTTAGTGCTCTTTTGATTTTGTTTAATGATACCTTTTTCAATGAGACCCACATTCGTTAATCTTCTTTATCGACATCGACTTTGTTAGCCAAGACACAGTATCACTACTTATCGCTGTCTTGAAAATACCATATGGAAATTGATCTGAGTTATTGGCTCATAAACTTTCAATTTAAAGGAATATTTCCTGAATATCATTGGAATTTTGTTTGATTTTATATTGCGCAGTGTTCGTTTTTAATTGCTCATTTTTACTTTCCTGCATAAATTATTTTCTTTTCTTTAAGAACGATTCATATTTTACGATGGCTCATCCTCATGTTCAAGTATACATTTATCTCCTGGTTTCTGGAACTTTTTCAGTTTTTAAAAGATATTTTCATTTTCTTTTTGGGGAAATAATCACGATTTTACAGCAAATTTGGATTTAAGCAGTGATAACTGTGCGCTTTGTGTGGGACATTTAAGATTTATTTATCACGGTTATTCAATATAACATTGCTCATTTTGCTACTTTTATGGGAAAATATGTTCAACTGCAGGTGACGTAGGTGAGTTATTTAGTGCTCAAATTTCCTAATTTAGTGGAGATTCATCCTTATTTAATTGAGCGTATTCTATTTGCTATTGCCTTTTTTGCCACTTTCACCGCTCACATTCAAATTATTAAAAGAAGCTTTTTATTTGTTTATTGCCTTTTTCTTCATTTCTATTGCAACTTTTGTTTTGTTTATTGGTGCACCCCTGTTGTATTTAGTGGCCAATTTGAGATTTTTTATTGCTTGTGCTTTGTTAATTAGGGTACGTATATATTTTAGTCGTAAATCACCACTAACCTGGCGACGACCGGGAGTATTCGGTTCAATTCCTTTAACTTTAGATTTAAGACCTTAATAATGTATAACGCAAATGATAACTTGGCTCTGTAAAGTTTATTCGATTGAGCCTGTACAAATAAATTAATTTACAAAACAAAAAAACTAGATCGTAACCGAATTTATTCAAATTTGGCCCTGTCTCTGAGGGCTGTTGGGAGCAGGGGGTTGTGATCCACCATATACAGTTGACCCATCCTTATTTTACAGGTGATATTTTCGAATTTCGTACCCTCTAACCTCGAATAAATCGGCTTGTGCTTCTAACTTTAGCTTTAATGAAAATTAATTAATTACGGCTCCGTAAAGCCATCGCAACTGGGCCTTGACAAACGAACGACACAACAGACCAGGCGTCCTTTTCGAATGTTGGAAATTATAGGTTATACGTTCCTTATGGAATTATTGAGCTGCCGTCCATATTTCACTGTGAACATGTTAGCTTAAATATTTTTATTATTTGGATATTGATTAGGCACGACTGAAAATTGTTAAATCTCACCACGCTTCTTTTTCACTCCTTACCATTCATACGTAACCACATTGTTGACGTCACTTTCACTTCTCGCGTAAGAACTGATGGGGATGAAAGGGATAGTGTTTTCCATTGATCCAGATAACATAAATCACGAGCCAAATAGATCATCTCACGACCACATACATAACGAACTGACAATTCAAGTTATAGCAAGCCGAACAATGCATTAGCTCCTAAGTAACATTGACAGATTCTCTTAGTAGATTGCCTCTTTGCTTCCCCACGGCCATGTGTAGACACTTCCAGCAATTTTCAACACATAGTTCGATAAAAGAAGCTATTATCTAGCATCTAATACGGCAAACACGACCAGAAACGGATTTGTAGCCAAGTTATTAACGAAAGAAAAAATGGACGAGAAGAATCGAACAATGTTACTTAGGACCTAATGCTTGATAGTTTTTCGAAGGGCCTATACGGTAAATGAATATGACTCATATTTGAGTCCCGATCACTCAGATTCGCAAATGCACAATATCTTAAAGTCGGTAAACAATACCTAGATATCGGTAAGAATTACCGATAATCGAAGAAAGTGCACATACCTAAATGATCGGTAATCATGGAGTACCAATAATTAACGTTAAAAATGTCCTAATATATAGTAAAAAATAGCGTATTTAAAGTAAACAGTAACGATTTTTATCGGTGAAAAATACCGATATTTTTTTACCGATAATTTCCGGTAATCGTAGCTAAGAGTGTAAGTCACTCTTAGAATGAGGAAATGTTTACTCAAATATGATTAAATGTCACTCATATATGATTAAATGTCGCCAAATATATCATATTAACAATATGATCCATTCATGCCTTTTCCAAATGTTACAATGGCGACCCGCAAAATATTACTTCACGCACCATCTAGCGTTGAAAAAGGTCACCAACAATCATTCAATTACAATCGAGGGGTGCGAATATAGCACTTATTACAAAAGTAAGAGTCAAATTATTTTCATTAATTACATTGTGTATATTATTTAAAAATATGTCTGACATGTCACTGTTGTCATCAAATAAAATAAAATGCTGAAATACATTCATTTGAAATATTAAACAAATTTTCATTTCGTTTACCCCTCGTGACGATAAACAAATACATTGGTAGCCTTTTTGGCCACAGAGGTGCTTTCATCGCTGAAAATTCGGTTCGCCAGCTAAGCGAAAGAGTGGATCATATTGTTAATATAATATATTTGATGTCGCTCAAATATGAGTGACATTTAATCATATTTGAAAAAAAAATAACTCATTCTAAGAGTGATCTACGCTTTTGCGAGTTTGTGCAAACGGTACCTCAAATATGAGTCAGTCTCATTTGCCGTGAAGTTTGTTTTGACGGGAGGATTGACTGCACGCTATTTCTAAACTACCCAACATTGAGTAGGATCTACTAATATGCGTCAAAAGTAGGGCTACCGAAAGTTGCAACTGGCAAGATGACAAATGAACAACATCGTTCAGATTCAGGTCGATGTTTTCCACTCGTCATCTTGTTAGTCTAAACTTGGTGTACCGTACTTTTGACGGATATGAGTAGATCCTTCTCAAATTTGGGTTGTTTAGAAATAGCGTGTGTTGACCCTTCCTTTCACGCAAAGGTTAACATTGTGCCTACAGAATTTTTCAGTGGAGTGTTCGGATAAGAAACGATTCGCACGAAATTGGACATTTGCTTATGGGGGTTTCCTTTAGGAGTGAACAGTTGCAGAGTCATCGTCAACGCGAATGGTTTCACAAATACCAAAACAAAGTTATCAAATAAAGTTGGTAGGCCATAATTAGGAACAAGCATCCAAATTACGTCCCTAATGTTCGGTCCATAGTTATAAAGCGCTAAAAGCGTTAAATCTTTTATAATAGCAGTAAGAGTGAAAAGTACGATATTGATATATTATTCTAGCATGTGACAAAAATGTAAGTCCTTTCAATTCATGAAATTATCAGGTTTTTTGGTGACCACAGCTCAGTAGATTTTCGATAGTGCAATAATACGGCAAGATCATGGCGCCTAGGAATCGAAAATAAAGTAAATTTCACTAAACTTTTCCTTTGAAAAAGAGCAATAAATGCTCAAAATGTGTCCAAAAAATGGGCAATCAATTTACAGTTTACAATTTTACAGTAGAGGTGGTATTAGTTTTTCATTACTATTGTGTATTATTGTTGAATTAATGTGTTATTTGCTTGATAGGTCGAAGTGAGGGGCTAGGCTGACATTACATCCCGTAACCTCATGTCATCTTTTGTAAGAATTTTTGTCATCATCTGAAACGTGCCTCCTAGGATAGGAGTTGATAGCGAATATCAAATCGGATTACTTTGTACGCGTACAATCTTAGCTGACAACCTTCTTTCGGAAATCGTAGCTGGTTATAAATTTACAATTAGTCTATGAAACTAGGGATCTACTGAAACTTGATATGGTTTAATTTATATTCATTGTGAAACTGACGTCATCGTAGTCTTTTGGAGGTTTTTTTTTTAATTATGTTCGTTATCTTCTTACTACGTTTGATACACTTTGTACAATATAGTTAGATTCGTAATTCGACACTTTTAGTAGATATAAATATTTCAAAACAAAGTTTATACAATCATGCGAGGAACACGGTTTGGTTTTGTTATAGTCATATCATGAAACAATTGAAACATTTGTTAGGCGAACTATTTAGGCAGTATATTCAGGAAATAATAGAAGCTCACAACAAGCAGGCGGGTTACATCAATTAGCATAAGGAGAGGGAAACGAATATTCTTCCGCTCATTTATTTGAAAAGCGATATTTGATTCGTTTCATGATATAGGTACAATGAATGTCGCAGGAAGGGTTGTGAAGTAAGCCGACTTTGCAGCGAATTGAAAGCGTGTAAAATGATTCGAGATGAATGATGCTGAATGGAAGGTAAAAAATCAAATCTAAAGAAAATCTTACATCACAATCTGCGAAGCGCGTGCCATCACGTCTTGCGATGATCGCTCGAAGCGGTTCCGTGCGGCCAGCGACGACGACGACAGGTTCCCGCCGTAGCCCAGCTGCTTACCGGCGCCGCCGCCGGAGTTCGTTGTCAACTGCTTACCACTACTAGCACTACTACTATATACAGAGGACGGAGGGGATTGCTGCTGGTTCGGCTGGCCGGATGCTGCGGTATACTCGTAGCTAAGCTTACCGTCCGGGAAGTTCTTGTTGCTGAACGCATAGCTGGACCAGGAGCGCCGGGGCGTTCCCGCCGTCGAACTGTAATTGCTGCTGTTGCTGCCGCTGCTGTTCAACGCTTGGACTGTCCCAGGACCAAGTGACTGCCGGTAGGTGATGCCACTCCCGCTGTTGCTATTGCTGTTGCTGTTCAGCGCGTTGGAGGTGATATCGTGCATGGCATTACTAATTCGTTTACTATTCAGAGCCCCGGATAGTGTGGAGAATAGTGGATTGCGACGAGGGTGAGCGAGAGAGGCACGCGGTCGCGGTACATTTGTGGCCACGTGGAACAAACGATAAGCGAGATCGCGAATTTCGGTACAGGTGAGCAGCAGCAGCGGTGTAGATGTCGGAAATGGTGTGATTTGGTGGTTGGTGATGGTGCGTTGTCGGTGTAGTAGTAGTCGTATTTTTTTTTGTACAATGAATTCGGACAGTATGGACAGCGTGATGAAGGTGATAAGTTGAAAATAAAGAAAACAAAGTGAAACACATATAAGGTATAAGAACGGTGAAATAGTGAGAATGTGTAACTATAGATAAGATCACTCGAAAAAAAAAACATACACACACACAAAAGTAACACAACAAATTTCCCACATTAGACAACACGTGAACACAATTCCCTGATCGGATGAGTGAAGCGATCCCTTGTATGAGCTCCCGTTTTTTGCTTTGCGTGAGAGTTTTGCGAAATGTCACGGTAATTGAGTACCTAGATAATACAAACGCTACAAATTTTAAATGAATGAATTCCTCACGATAAAACTAACACAGAAAATCCTAAAGCACGCGTTTCATGAATTCACTGGAATATGAAAGACTTATTAGGAATGGTTTTCTGCAATACACAAAATGATGGAACTAAGTTACTATTATTGAACTGATCATCAGTGGACCAAAACATACATTTTCAACAATACATTTAAAGATGAGACTAAGATTAGCGTGACATCATATACGTACAGATCGTGAGCATTATGTAAGAGTGCACTTTTTCATAAGCAGCTTATATTCATCAGTTCAATAAATACAAATCGACTTTTTTTTCAGAACTTCAGCTCCAATTTTTTTTGGAATCGTTGCGAAAAAAAAGATCTTGATCGGCACTGAAAAAAATAGAGTTCCCGAAACAAAATGCCCATTAGGGTGGGTCAACTATGCAATCCCCTGTTCCGCACTGTTCCTTCAATATGTATTGACGACAAAGGGTAATCAACTCTGCACATTGTGGCACACTGATCGGCGCGTCATGGCACACGATGACAAGTACGCCACATAATATAACATAAAATGGCATCACAGTTTTGTGTTGACATTTTGCCAATCGTTGCTAAGGTTTACTTCTTAGTTTACTTCAAAGTAAGGTGGAAAGGGATTTTTTGTCAGTGCTATTTTCCAGCGAAATTGTCCCCAATCATAATAAGAGATTGTATAATTGACGAGACTCTGTTTGTCCTTATGCCTTCAGGGGGATGAACCTCTACAGCAAGTCCACACGGCTTTTGAGAGATATCCATAGTTTTAGGGAAGTCCAAACAAACTAGTCAGAGTCACCACGCCCCGCAGAATAGGCCAGAATTAACTAGAATTAAGTATTAACTCGATGGCCATAGGATCCGGACCGAGAGTCAATTGTATGGTTAAGGAGCATGGCAGCCGAACGATCCTACCATTCTTCAGATGTATCTAGAATCGCAGCTGTTTCTCCCGCAGAACACCCTGGTACGATTGATGGTTCACCAAATAGTCAGCCGTACATTTTATGGACTGGACAAGGAATCGATTCACTGTGGAGGTCTCTTTACGCTCTTTCGCAACTGTTCGTATCACCGATGGCAACAGCAACGTCAGCAACATTAACCCTCCGTTACTCGCGCTGTTGTACTTTGTACAACACACATGAGTTTCCTATTGTCATTTTGTTACTGAGTTACCAATCGATCTGAAACCAACGAGTATTCCTCAAAAAACTGGCTTTGATCTAAACAAGCTAAACATTGATAACAGTAAACACCTAAAAATGCGGATAATAGGGAAAATGTACATGGAAACCGCGTAAACTGTGACCATACTACGTGGGATTTGACTTAATTGATTACAACATGGAATATATCGAGATTCTGACCAGATAGAAAGTTACTGTCTTCGGCATAGTTGTTCAAGAGGTCATGGTCTTTTCGCAGGTGGACAGTATTTCAGAGTTTTCTCACTTCACGGCTCTACTATACATGTAAAATTCTCGCATATACAATATCTCTAGATACTGACAAGATAGAAAGTAAATGTATTCGGCAAAGTTTTTCAGGAAGTCAAGATCTTTTTGTTTGGTGACAATAATTCAGAATTTTCTCACTATGCGGTGCTAGTATATACGTGCTTTTCTCGCATATTCAACTCGAGATTGTGATCAGCTAGAAAGTTGCTGTCTTCGCCAAAGTTGTTTAGGGGGTCTACTGGTAGACAGTAGTTAAGAATTTTCTCACCACGTGGCAAGTTTTTCGTTGAGATTCAGCAAAATAAAATACCGAGCTGCTCGGTGGTGCCCATCTCGGCAAAAAAATCTAAGTGTGCAGTTACATACAAAGTCATGAAGAAAAGGCCTGATAATATGGAATTATAATCTCTTTCATTATACGGCTATTCATACGCTGCTACACAGTTCGAAAAGTAGTGTAAATTTCTATTCAATATGATGCACATAAATGGAGCGTCACATATCATATAAGTTTACATTATATATCATGTAATGTTTTGACATATTTCATGCAATGTAGCAAATATTGTATACAAAAGCCCATCTTTGTAAACAACATTGTTTACAAGTTGCTCGGTTGCGTGACATTAAATTTAAGTTTACGTGAATGAATGTTTTCATCCCAATTAAAATTCAGAATTGTTATCTGTGTAAAAGTGTGACGTCGAAATTATGGTTACATACATCTTATCCTAAATCAAAATGACTAGAGAAAATTAAGCATCGGGAATGCGCTCCCGGATATATTGATTTGGTGAGTACGTTCCATTTGAAGATTGTTCTCTCTAAATAACCCTTTTTTGAATACATTCCATTAATCAAACATTATTATATGCTGGGTTTGGGGGGCAGCATAAGGGTTTCAAAGGATTTGTAGACTGGACAAGGGTTCGTGGATTTGCCAGTCCCTTGTCACGTGTTGATAGACGTACATCTTGTCGTTTGTCTTCCAAAGGTCTTCACCCTGCTGCAACAAACCATCAGGCAGAACTTTACAACCAGTGAAGTATCTGCAGTCATAGGTAATCCTTGCACTGATGGTGGGTTCTATTCACATCACATCACATCACATACACCTTATCCTAAATCTAAACGAAAAAAATCTACTCAGTTCGTCTAAAATGTGTAATGTAATGTAAAATGTATAAAATATATACGCACGAGTTAGCCAGTCGAGCCATAGGACTATCTCAGTCGTGAGATTGCTTTACTCAGTTGTCTGGAGAAATTTCCAAAAGCGTGATTCACTCAGCGCTGAGTAACCTACACTTTCGATCATAAGCTTAAATACACCCCCAAAATACATGCAAATGTGTTTTCTTCAAAGCTCTCTCATTTTACGTCCAATTTTTGATCTCCTTAGGTTAATTGAATGGTATGAATGGTATAGCATAAGGGTTCTACTATTACTTTTAATTTCAAATATTTATTCAATTCAATTCTGAGAAAATCAATCCTGATTATTCAGAGTAAATTTTGAAAAATATTGTAACTTTGGGTGAAAATTGGACGTAAGACAAAGATATGAACATAACACATTTGCATGTTTTTGGGGGTCTCTTTATACTTATAATCGGGAGTGTACGGTTTTATAAATTCCTCCATTCAACTGAGCAAAAGTGCCTCACTCTCTGAGTTAGTCCGTGCACACGTAAATACAGGGATTTTTTTTTTTTTTTTGGTCTAGACACCTCGATAAGACATTTTGAAATTAGCCTAAAATGAAAGGGAGACTCTAAACATTCATTTGGTGGAAGACTCACCCCAATTTATGTACCCACAAATCTGCATGAAAATCTTCACCATTAAAAGAAATCCAGAATATATTTGTCTTATCCCACTTAGGCTGATGTAAAATTGTAAATTGTATTTTTATTTTATGATATTTGATATGCGACAATTTCCCGCCAAGTTTTGAGAAGTTTCTGAACTACTTTTCATCAGCCAAAAGATCTTTATCTCCTTAACAGCTTTGCCAAATACAGTAAATTTCGAGCTGTTCAGGATCTCGAGATATTATATATGCGAAGATTTCACATATATCCTAGCGCCACGTAGTGAGAAAATTATGTAAAGTCGACCAACGAAAAAGTTTTGATCTCCTGGACAACTTTGCCGATGACAGTTTAGCAGGTCGCAGAAATTCTGTCGGCAATAACAACAAGTGCTCCCAGAAAGTCTCCCGGCTGCGACGGCATCCCGCGAGAGTTTTATTACCGCATGTTCGACGTTATCCACCGAGAGCTGAACCTGCTGCTCAACGAAGCGCTCAACGGTAATCTTCCCGCCGCATTTGTGGAAGGCATTATCGTGCTGGTTAAAAAGAGAGGAGGAGACAACACGGCACGATCCTACCGTCCGATCTCGCTGCTCAACAGCGATTACAAACTGTTCTCCCGCATTATCAAGACCAGGCTAGAGCGGGTGATGAGAGCCCACCACGTGCTGAGCGATGGACAGAAATGCTCTAACTCCGAGCGAAACATCTTCCAAGCCACCCTTGCTCTGAAAGATCGGATCGCCAGTCTCCGTCACCATCGCCGTGCCGGGAAGCTCATAAGCTACGATCTCGATCATGCGTTCGATCGGGTCCGGCACTCATTTCTCTTCTCGACCATGCGCTCCCTCGGATTCAACGAGAATCTCATCGCTCTGCTGGCGCAGATTGCCAATCGCTCAACCTCACGGCTGCTCATCAATGGGCATCTCTCTCGCTCTTTCGAAATCCAACGCTCCGTACGGCAAGGGGACCCGTTGTCCATGCACCTCTTCGTGCTGTACCTCCACCCACTGGTGGTCAGACTCGAGCAAGCGTGCGGAAATGATTTGCTAGTGGCCTACGCGGATGATATCAGCGTCATCGTCACATCGGTCGGGCAAATCGAGGCGATGAATGGTCTGTTCACTCGCTTCGAGCTAGCCGCCGGCGCCAAACTGA